ATTAAAACGCTCCAGCTTTCAAAGTAGTTGATGCAGTATTCGCCAGTGGAAACAGACGAAGAGGAAGACTTCTACTTCGTTGTGTGGTTAAGGCAGAGATTGACCTGGTTTCACGTGGTATTACCAGCTGGCACCAAACAGCAAAGAAAATGGCTATAATTGCGTAGCAGTGCCTTCGTCTTTAAAAAAAAAAAAGAAAGTCATTTGTGTGCTGTAGTGTTTCACATAAAATGCTGGAAAAATTATCTTAAATCCATTTTATTCTCGTCTGTTTTCGAAACCGCCAAATACATAACCCTGTCGGAGCGCTTAAGGTAACTACAAGAGGCGCATGCCACCCGGAGTGGCTCCAGAAGGTATGAGCTGCTGTGCTGCACTCGCGCAACGCCAACACTCGCTCGTATTTTCACATTTTTGCGCGTAATCCGCGCGCGCCAGGCGTATAAATTTTCATTTAGCGCGTATTTTCCACACGAAATCGTACGGATGGGATTTAGAAAATTTTCGCTGTTGCACTCAGACAGACTCAGTATTTTCGCTGGTTATTGCTTCTTTTTTTTTCACTACTATTTTTATGTGCGCACTAAACATTTCGGAGATTTCTTATTTTTATAGCTTATTTTTTCGTTTTCATTTGCTGTTGTTGTTGTTGGCAACAACTAGCCTTTTTCATATTTTTTTGCAGATACTTTTGTGCACAAATTTGCAGTTATTTTAGTGTGCAGCTTTTAAGTACTTTTTCCAGTCAATTCTGTTGGCATTTAATTTAGGGTTTGCTGTACTCTCTAAGACTACTCTCTGTTTTTATGTGTGTATGTTTGTATATGTGTTTGTCTACTATTTGATAGTAATTTTCTGTGAAAAGTACAAATTGGCCGTAAAAATACGGTTTAGGGGCTTTTTTTTTTGGGTTTTTTTGTGGCTGCTCCCTCACTTAGTCATATTTTTAAGTTTTTTAATTATTTTATGCCACTTCTCTGACTAGTTAGTTTTTTGTCTTTACTCGCCTTTAAAGTGTGCTTAGCTGTGGTTGGTGGGTAGAAAATAGTTGTCTGCTGTAGCTGACAGCAAACACTCATATCTCCGTTTTGAATAGAAACCTGATTGTGTGGCACAAAGAGAAAAGTGAAAAAAAAATTAATAGAAAATAAAAAATGAATACAAAAAAAAAACAAAAGCAAAGGCAAAGGCAACAAAAAGTTTACCAAATAAATGTGAGTGCAATGACTTAAATGAATGGCAAGCAATGACTGCGTGAGTGTCTGAATGACTGAATGACTGAATGAGTGAATGAGTAGATGACTGATTGAGTGCATCACCGAATAACTATCTACATAAATGCCCTTGCTTAAATGTGCATGTGTCTGTGTATATGTGTGGCTGTGTAAAACCATCGTCGGTTGGATTAACTTGCCAACACAACAAAACCGGCAATGAAATGACTCTCAAGTTTATTTTGTGAAATGCGAAAATTAAAATAAAATGTAGCTGAGCAGAAAAGAGGCATTGAAATGAATCCCTAATGGCAGGCAAAGTGTTCATTATCATCATAGTGGTATTATTTCGATACACTCCAAACTCCTCCAGCCAATTGCCTTAAAATATATATTTTTTGTTCAATTTTCCCTTTAAATAGAAGGCTTAATTTATCATAGTTGAAATCATCCGATTAATATCTTGTTTGTGGCGTGCCTCTAGAAACCCTTGTATCTATTGGTAAAACCTCAGGGCAATCGATTTTCAGGCTTATCATAAGGGCAATTTTTCACATGCCAAAGCGTTCGCTATAGACAGGAATAGACGGAAAGCACTTGGTGCGATGTCATGACTACAAAATGGATGCATAAGAACCTCCTAACCTCCCGAACCTCACCTTCTGGTGAAACACAATTTCCATCCAGTTGACCAAAGCTGAACGCTTCTTAGCGTTTGATTCCTTTAGGCAATTCAGTTGCCGAAAAATTTGGTAGTAAAGAAGCAGTTCATAGTGGATTCTTCCTTGCCAAAATCATCAAACACACAAAAAACTAACCTGTCCGTGACTCCTGGCTTGGAGACTGCTTGTGTCAGCTCACTACCCGTTTGTTTGACGTTGTAGTAAGCTCAAAGCTCAAGCTCTCTGCGCATAGCTGCAAATGAAACTATTGGGTTTCAAAAAGGTCAGAAACAAACCTAATACGGCGGCTTATAGAAAGTTCCAAGACTGAAGTAATATCTTCCAGCAACTGGAGAGAGGTGATCTAGTGACTGAAGCCCAGAGTATGCTGAATTTATGGAGGGAACACTTTTCCCGCCAGCAAGCTAGGAAATGGAGATTACCCAATAGAGGACGATAAAACAGATATTTCAATGCCCAACTATGGAGATATGGATTTTCAGATGAGTTATTGACATACGTCGACGAAGAACTAATAAGGAGCATTAATAAGTTTCTTTGTAATTGACTCGGACGAAAGCATGTCCAACGATTCGAATTTAGGTGTGCTCTGCCCGATGCATGAAAAGTGAGACCAGCGTCGTTAAATTCACATATAAGATACTATCGAGCGTATTGTGGGAAAGACTAAAGCTTACCGTCAGCAAACTGATTGGCACTTATCAGTGGGGCTTTGATTCTATGAATCAACTATTGACCAAATATTCACCATGTACCATCAAATTTTGGAAAAACCCCCTAAAAAGAGGATCGACACACATCACCTCTTCGTCGATTTTAAAGCAACCCTCGGCAGCACGAAGTCTGAAATAGGTTTTCCCCGCAAAACGTATACGGCTATGTAAACTGACGTTAAGCAACATCTGAAGCTCCGTCAAGATCGGGAAGGATCTCCCCGAGCCATTTGATACCAGCCAAAGGTTCTAAAATGGCGTATGACACCTTTTATTTATTGTTGGAGCAAATAATGTGAGCTGAAGAGCTGACTAGAGAAAGTATAATTTTCTATAATAGTATACAGCTGCTGACGTACGCCGATGATGTTGACATTATTGGCCTCAGCGACCGTGATGTGAGTTCTATTTTCTCTAAACTGTATAGGGAAGTGAAGGATATGAGTCTGGTAGTGATTGAGGGCAAGACGAAATATCTTCTCTCATTAAACATGCAGTCAGTGCATTTGCGACTCGGCTCTGAAGTCACTGTTATCAGTATTAACTTTAAAGTCGTTGATAATTTCGTCTATCTAGGAACCAGCATCAACACCTATAATAATGTCAACCTTGAAATGCAACATAGAATCACTCTTGCCAACAGGTGTCACATTGGAATGAGTAGACGATGGAAAACTAAATTCCTACCTCGACGAACGAAGACCAAACTCTACAAGTTTTTCGTGAGATTTATGGTCCTCTACGAGTTGGGGTGGGTGAATACCGCAGCCGATGGAATGATAAACGGTGCGCGATAAACGACAAAATTTACATGGGCTTGTAAATCAAGAGATAGCAGCGGCGATGACTAGGTGATGTGGACCTGATGGATAAGAATACTCTAGCTTTGAAAGTTTTCGATTTATTATCCACTGTGGAAGTGGCGAAAGAGGAGGACCAGGTAGAGAAGGACCTGGATGGACCTTAATTTTCAACGAAAAGAAGCAAGAAATAAAGGTCTTACAGATTTTAGTGACTTTTTTTATTTATTTTTCAAAGAAGTATCTGTCCATATTCAGAACAAAATCTTTAGAAACATCACGTAAATTTTCCCCTTAAGCAGCTATGGATATTCAAAGTATTTATGAAGATATGATTAATTTATTAAAAAAAAAATGTTATAGGGATTTCCATGAATACTTTCTCATTGAACATTCGAATAACTATCAATAAGCAAAATATGTATTTACATTAATACATACATATATTTTATTTGTATTGAAATTGTATTACTGGCACCCAATGCATTTGCCGGTGTAGTGCAGCACATCTGGGCAAAAATTTGTGCATTCGTGCATACACATACATAAGGGAAAGTGCAGATGTTGTGGTTTTATTAATGAAATTATATATAAGAAACTAATGTACACATATTGATAAGTAGAAAAATATTTTTAAAGGGTGCTTTTTAGGCATGTGGTTTTCAAGAAGAGACGAAACGAATATAATAAATATAATATTATTACCAAAAATTTTGCTTTATTATAAAAATGCAAGTTAAAAATAATTCGGAGCAAGGGACCATCACGACACGACCAAAAACCTCCAGCATTACCCAACGACTGTTATGTTATGGCCGGCTTCATTTTTGTAGAAATATGGACCAATTAAGCCCACTGTCCATAAAGCACATTAAAAAGAGATTTTCTTGGGATGTAATGGCCTCCAAATAATAGATTTAAAAATCAGGATCGGTGACCGCCACGTTTTGAGCCCATTAATAGAACATGCGACGCGATTGATCGTTGTTCGGCTTCAATTGTTGTATGAGTTAGACATTGTAAGCCCGCGAACCAAGATTCTTGCACCAAACTGTTTTACAAAGTGTATGGGTATAGCTCCAATTGCAGCACGCGTTGACGGATGGACACCTTCGGGTCTTCTTCGATACTCTGCTTAACAGCAATAAAAGCGCGTTTTCTCTGCACTATATACGGTTTCTCTGTGGATGCATATTATTCACTATTGTAAATGTTTTGCGAAACCAATGCATTGTGGCTCAAAATACGGACTCTTCTAGGCGGTTATGTCGACCAAACGTTGGACGTAACGCTCGATGTGTCACGCGATTTTCAAACTGAGTATAAATCAAGTACCAGCTGTAGTAATAGAAGTAAGCTAACTTCGAACAAAGTATTGTCTCATTGACAACCACATGTCTAAAAAAAGATAAGCACCCTGTATTTATATAGTTTTATTCAGTCGAAAGATGCTATTATTATCACTCTGTCTACCTTTAAAAGAGAAATAAAGATTGGTATTATTTAATTTTGAGTTAATTTAAAAATATTTAATTCAATTTATTTTATTTAATTTATTCTATTTTACTTATTTATTTATTTATTTTTCAGGGCAAATTCACATCGAAATCAGATGTTTGGTCTTTCGCCGTCACGCTTTGGGAAATACTAACCTTTGCACGCGAACAACCCTATGAACATTTAACGGACGAGAAGGTGATTGAGAATATCGGACATATCTATGCGGATGATAAGTTGCATGTAAGTGTTTAGTTATTTATTTTCAATACAAACCATTATTAAAAAAAATTACAATAAATTATTTTCCAATTCACTGCCACTCATACTCAATGCAATGCCTTTACTCTTTCTACAACTCCTCAGGAACTATTGCCCATGCCACTCAACTGTCCGCGCGAAATTTACGATTTAATGTGCGAATGTTGGCAACGCAACGAGTCGAGTCGACCAAATTTCCGTGAGATTCATCTATTTTTACAACGGAAAAATCTGGGTTTCAAACCCAGCAATGCAATGCATTACTAAAGCTGGATAATGTATAGAGAAAGAAGTTAAAAAAAAAAAACTAAAATTAAAATAAATATAACCAACGATTTTTGAAAACAACAACTGCTAGTGAATATTTTGCGAAAGAGCGTAATTCGAAAAACACATATAAAATATTAAGCAAAAAAGAATTATAATAATAAGTACGATTAGCGCTATTCAAATGGCAGTGAATACTTAGTATTAGAAAGAAAAAAAAAAGATTATAAATTAAATTTATGATAAAGCAAAACTCGGCGAATTTAATACTTAAAAAAAGCAAAGCAAACATAAAAATGAAATTAAATTTAATTAACTCTTTATATGTATGAGTAGCTAGTAAGCGTTTAGCAAGAGATAGTGAATAACAAATATGGGCATGTATGTGTGTGTGTGTTGTGTGTGCTGCGGAGTTTAACGCAAAAACTATCATTTAAAGTAATAAATACAGTGCATGAGTTAATAAAAATACCTTTCAATTAAGTAAATTAGGGCATATAAGGAATGAGGGTAGGAAATCCAATGATCCACAAGCTAAAGTGTTCTGAATTTTTATAAGAACTGCAACTAACGTTATTTTGCTTGTAAAAGGATTAATTTTCCTCAAAACAATTTGATGTAATTTAAAATTATTAGTGTGTTTTTTATTTCATTAAAAATCTTGTATTTGTTCGAAAAAATTAATTTTCACTTAAACTTAATTTTTTAAATCAAGTAAACTGAGTTGCTCTTTGTATATAGCGAACAAAAACCCATATTAATACTCGAACACCGCTTTATCATTTCTTAAAAAAAATATGGTCCATTAATATCTATTTGAACTAATTGTTGAAGATTTTTTGCCACTCTGATAGAGGTATCTCTAAAACATGCGTTCTAAATGCATGAACCGTCTCTTCAGCTGTCGTAGAACGTTGATCGTTCAGTTTATTCTTTGCGTTGGGGCATTAAAAAAAGTTATTCGGTGCCCAATCAAGTCTAGTGCAATTGTGCTGTATAAGAGCTCGCATAGTCGTGGTGAAGAGTGTGACCAATATTAGATTATGGGTCGGGCGAATCTTAATTATAATGTCCATTCTGGTCTGCGGCAATTGGCTTGCTTGTTTTCAGTTCTGTTGTTGTTTTACTAGTTTCTAAAGCGATCAACTTTTGCTAGATTCGACTCATCTTTAAACAACCACAACTGTAAACTGCTGCTTACTGTCGGCCTCATACGCGTAAATCCACTGATCATCACCGGTCACGATGTTCTAGATATATTTCAAAGCACCGCTATCGTATTTTTTAACAATTCGCTCGACTACTCGATACAATTCCTTTTTGAACGATTGACAAAATGTGTGGGAACAGTCAAATGTTCATTCAATGTGTTTTAAAGCTTTCCAAACTGCGAAGACTTCGACAACCACAGTTTTCTTTTCGCAAAGGTAGCAGCATAGATACAAAAAGGAAGAGCTCAATAAATAGATAATTCAGTGGGAATGATTCTCTGAATCTTCCGTAAGAAATAAAGTTCGTCATTCCAATAAAGTTCAATTCGTTTGATTATGTCAAAATTTACTCTTAGTTCTGTCAGCCGCGTTCCCCTCTTTTGCTGAGTGAGTGGCATTGCGTGTTCTATGCTGAGCAAAAGCTCAAAAGTTTTTCTCGCCAATCAATGTCAATCTTGACGAATGTAACACTGACATGAAATAAAAATCTTCATATAAAAATCCATGATAAACTGAAAACCCTTGGCCGCATAAAATCTGGGGCAGCTACGGTGCATAGAAGTGGATGTCGGGTGCTTCCGCAGGGTGATATCCTCTGACGATTTAGCAGTACCTAAAAGAACCGATGTAAATGACGATCATCACGTTCGTTAACAATTATGTTTCTGTTACAAACCGTTAAATGACCTTGATGAGTTAGACTATCAACAGTAACAACAACTCAGTAACTTCTCTGCATTAAAGATCAATAACCTCGTTTGAATGATTTTTAATCCTTATGCAAGTTTTTTTTTTATTATTATTTAGCTTTAACTAAAAAAAATACTTAATTAATGTAAATTTCTCTCAAAGGCCATTTTGAGGCCTCAAAAGCGTATACACATCATTAGCATTTCTAGCAATAGATTTACATAGGAGTAGGAGTATTAAGATGTAACTAAAAATGTTTATACGTGTAATTACTTATGTATGTAAAAAACAAAAACAAATTACTTAAAAGAAACGTTGTAATCATAGTTGTAAGAATAGATTTCTACATTTAAAATGCACAATAAATGCAGAATAACTTAAACAACAGTTTCATTAAAAAATACGAAGTACATAGAAAACCATTTTTGTAAACTGAGCGGAAATGAAAATTTACACTTTTTCTTTAATTTTGATTTTTGGTTAATTTATTGTATTTAATTTCATTTTATTTTGTTTTATTTTATTTTATTTTATTTTATTTTATTTTATTTTATTTTATTTTATTTTATTTTATTTTATTTTATTTTATTTTATTTTATTTTATTTTATTTTTATATTTTATTACATTATCTTTTGTTTTAATTCATTAACATTTTCATGTTAAGAAAACGTTTCATCGATAGGCAACATTTTTGTATGTATGAATATAAACTAAAAGCAGAAAATAATACACATGATTGCGTTGTAATTCAGTACGAACACTTAATAAATTAAACTCATAAAAATCATGCATTTGTTGCATTTAAATGCTAATTGAAGAGCAAATAAATAATTTAGACGTATGTGTACCTATCTCCGCCGCCTGACCTGTCTACAAAGAATCCAATTCTCAGCAAAGAAAACAAAAAAAAACTATATAAAAATACTATAAATGCTTCATATTACATACATAAACAAAAAATAAATATATAAACAACTTACTAATCACAGAGACACTATCACTTATGTATTATATGCATGTACACTGGTTATATCGAAACTCTACATACACTATTATGCATTTAGAAAGCAACAAAAAAAATAATAATAAAATATTCCTTTCAAACAAAATAAAAATTCTCTTAAATTTATCATTATGAAATCACGAAACATTGCAAAGGATTTAAAATATAAAGAAAAATAAATAAGAATTATTTTATAAAACTAAAGCTGCAAGAATGAAGTGAAAGAGTAAATGTTTTTGACAATAAGGAAAATTTAAAATAAAAGTTTAGTATAAATCTTCAACCTTTGATACGAAACCTGTGCAAAGGCAATTAGTGTATTTATTTAAAAAAAAATTGATTCTTAATATTTAAAACATGTGCAGATATTTGTTGTTATTAATAAATATAAACATAAATAAATTTTTAGTTCATACAAATTATATTTCTCAGTATAATTATGTCAATTAAATGCATATCAATTAAAACTTTACCGTTATTTTGCCAACCATCAGCATAGTGAACTACTCATTTTTTTAAACATAAATTTGTTTAGTGTAGTAATAATAATAATATTTTTATTATTAATTATTCCTATCATATCTGTGTAGTATACATAATTTTTAATAATACTTTGCTACTACTCATGTACATATATATGCATGTAATATTACTATTTATATGCTAGAAAAAAAATTAGACTACTCATCCGATTTCCCTTGTGCCTTCTTCAGCTCTAAATTTTATTTCTAAACTTTCAATTATTGTTTTCTTGCAATCAACAAGCACTTCAATTCTAACCTCTTCAAAAGCTTTTCAGGCCACGGCAACGCATTGGTTGTTTTGACAAATGCCAACTCTCTTCATTGTGCTCATTTATTTAATAAAAATATATGTTTATATTAAGAATATTATGTCCACATCTCAAAAATTCCAAGTCAACACCTATTTTCATTATTATCTCATCTATATTTTGCTCGTTTATTGACTCTGCCTCTTCATCGTCTCGCCTTTAACTTTCATCTAAAGAGAAGAACTTGAAGAGAGAGCAGCACTTAAATGAGAGTAAAAGTTTGTTTGAAAACATAGGACGTTTTTGATTGTCTTAATGCGCTACTTGACTTATTTATTTCGCACTCTATTGCATTTTAATATTAAAATATAATAAGCGGGTTAATCTCAACTTAAATAAGTCTATATCAAGGACACCCAGGTTGTATATTTCTTATACATAATTATAATCGAATAGACAAGTTAAATTTAGAGTTAAGCCAATTACTCTTTGTTATCTCCAAATATCGATTTTTTAACCATCTGAACTCTACAAAGTTTGAATTGGATTATCGCCAGACAATTTATTTAATGGCGTTTTGTAAACGTTGAAGCGATTTTCGGCCAAACTCTTGCTTTAATTTTCGGTTTTGCGTCTAAAGTGGCCGATGTATTTTTATGAAAAGCATTTAATTCAGGTCAGAAATACAATCGGAGCATTTGACATTCCCTGCCTAGGGACGACCGCAATTTAGTTCGATGTTAGTCGAACTGGGACTCTAACCTTGGGCATCGCAATGTTAGTACACAATGTTAATCCCTCGACTATTGCGAGTTTTATTTAATAGTTTTCTACTTTTCAACAGAATTTGTTGAAAGGTTGGTTGGTTGAAGAGGGCTGTTGCAGACCTCACCTAAGCCTAAGAGTACGCTCATTGTGCTACCCCGCATAACATAATTACGGTTTTGCCAATATTGCACTCAAGTTAGTATACTGATTTAATATCTTCTAATCATGCGTGTCCACCTCCGTAAGGTTGGCTCTGGGGGCCTTTTCATTGCCCTCTATATCAGTGCGACGCTGAACCGAAATATTATCTTCTGTGCTCTCCCGCGATAGTCTGTTAATTGCTCATTTTGATTTTTTACACTTGTACTTTGTGTTGAGGAATTTAATTGCTTTAACCGCCGCTAGGCTGTCAAGAAACCATAAAGCCAACTTGCCAATTTGGCACCTTCAGTAATGCCCACAATCTCTGCTTATAAGACAGATTTGTAGTCATTAAGTTTGAAGCTACCTCACGTGCTACCTCCTGTGCCTGCTGCGGCTCATACTAGGCCCCATGTCCATCCACTGTTTCGTACTAGGGAAGAAGTAGGTAGCCTCTATCTGTCAGAAAGCCTCATTTCTCGGCCGCGTTTTACGTTTAACCAGAGTTTCGATATAATTTTCTGAATGCCTCTATGTTTTTGACAATTTAGAGACTGTGCCCAAAAGTGTAGAATATTTAAGGGATTTCTTCTAGAGCCTATGCGGAATAAGTCTTCATCACGCTTGCTATACCAAGTAATCATTTGCGTTGTGTC